TCTCCTCTTCTCGAGGAGCGGTTCTCCAGTCGCCGGCAGTCCTGTCCGTTCGTTCCTCCCGTTCGGGTCTGCCTTCTCGACCACCACTACTGCCGTCTTTAAAGCAAACAATTAGTAAATTCAATAAAATTAAGAATAAGAGTGAGTCTAACCGGCATTATCTCCTGGAAGACCCACTTTCAGCTGTCGGTTGCGAAACATGTCTCCATTCTTCGCGAGCGCGTCAACCAATGATTCCCTGTTCTCAAACTCGGCGTAAGCAAAGCCTCGCTGTCGGCCGTTATATAGCGGCAAACGGACGTCTATTATCTGTTCACACCATTAATATTATAGTTAAGACAAAGCGTATGATAAGAGCAACAAATGAATGGACAGTACACTGAGTTTTCCGAAATATCTGGTGATCTCCTGATCGGTCACGTCGTACGGGAGGTTTCCTAAATAGGCTTTGAATGGCGGGTCAGACGGCACTCGAGTCATGTCGATGTCGGGTCCGCGCGTGGCTTTGGGCGCCGACGGCAGCAATACTTTGTTCGGCTCTTTCTTGTAATTCAGAGTGAATTTATCTAAAATGTCAACAAAAACACAAACAATGGTAAACACATGGCATAAGTGGAGACAATCAATGTTGTCATACCATCCAACTCGAGGTCGTCGACCATATCGGCCCAATCGAGCTTAGGTTTGGTGGTGTGGACCACATTGTATCCCTGGGGCGCCGAAGAGTCCTCCGCCACAAACATAGACAGAGGCATTGTCTTCTTGTTAGCCTTCTTCCCCTTTCCTGCCTTTCCTGTCATTCAAAACAAATACATTCATTAATACATTTGCCGACAATTGATCCACACGTGTCTGTGTCTGCACTCCAGGTGTGAGAGAGAGTGCAAAGACACCATTAGTGCCACAAATATATGACTCAAACATTAGTGACACGGCGTGTGGTGTTGGGTGCGGTAGTGTTGGGCCGAGTAGTGGCCAAATGGGATCAAACACTTGCCTGAAGTCGTAGCCATGCTTTCCATCAAATCATATATCGAGTCAACAAATGGACAAAAATCTCATCAAATGAACAGATTTAACATTCACTCCCAATTCACAAACAACGTTACCACTCATGACAGTGAAGGGGTTGGCCTTCGCTACCACTATATTGCCGTTCAAACACTACTATTAACTATGAATTCATGTTTTCTTATAATTAGATTTTTATATTAATCATAAAAATTAATTTAGTTATAAAATATTGATTTAATTTTGCGGTAATTTAAGGGAAAGTGTTAAATGATAGTGAATTGGGGGACAGATCTGGGCATTGGATTAGCTGTCAATGCGGTGTTGAATGTAATAAAAAACGTGTATTCAATGCAAACCCCGGAAAGCGAGACATAAGGCGAGGAAAGCCGGCGTTGAATGCATTGAAAGCGTGTTTTTGATGCCATAATTGATTGTGTGATTGAATACACGTTTGCTTTTCATTCAATGAGTGTTTGCTATGAATTACGTAACGATTTATGCGTTCAATAAATGCGAGAAAAAAACACATGAATTTTGATTTCATTCTTCGGACGAAACGCTTGTTTTGATTCACAATTGAATGACTTTTTTATAATTAAATCAAAACAATTTTTTTGTACACTTTTTGCACACATTTTTTAATCCGTTGTTTAGTTTTTATGAATTAATTATTAGTTATTGTTTTTGGTGTGAAAATCAAGACATAGAAGAAGACAATGTCCGCCAATAATGAAGAAGTGAACGAAAAGCGAGTCAATGGAGTGGAAGAGAGCGGAGACCAGGAGTCGGAAGTGACGGACCGTCCGATCGCGAAGAAAGTGGCGAAACACGACTCGGGAGCGGCTGATCTCGAAAAGGTGACCGACTTCGAGGAGGA